TAAGCCGGGGAAAGACAACGGGCACGCAGTGAGACTCATCGGCCTGCAGGGAATAGGGGCAGGAGATTGGCTGCACGCGGTGCCAATGAGGGCTGACCTTACATTATCCCCTGGTCAGCTCTCGATGGCGTTGGGCTTCCGTCTAGGCATGCAGCTGCCGGTTACAGTAAAGTGCCCTTGCAAGCGGAAAAACTCGGACATCAGCGACACCTCGCTCTCGAATCACCTACTTAGATGTGCTGATGGAGGAGACGTGGTTAGGACACATGATGCACTGGTGTATGCAGCACTCCGGATGGCGAGGGAGGCAGGTTTCTCGACCTTCCACGAAACCACCACCTTCTCCCCCCCCGTGCTACGTAAGAGGGCGGATTTAGCAATCCAGGACCAGGAATCGGGGGAAACGTTTGTCACGGACGTGACCGTGACCGACCCAGTCCTACAGAGGCGCGACACCAGAGCACGGAAGCCGCCAGGGTGGGCGGCCAAGGAAGCCTCCGAGAGCAAGCATAGGCTCTACGAGGGTCTCCCAGACTGTGTGGGGTTTTTTGGGTTGGCGGTGGAGACATACGGGGCCCTGGCAGCAGATACGGTGCAGTTTTTGCGGCTGCTAGCAAATTCGGCAGCAAAGAAGAAATATCGCCAAGGCAAACTCACTACCACAGCTGCGCGGCTCACAGCTCACTACAGACAGCGGTGGTCCATAATGCTCCAGCGTAGCCAGGCGGTGTCCTTCCTTTCCAAGTCAAACCGAGCTGCTGAGGCGGCCTTCCCTCAGGGACCCACGGATCCATGGGAGCCCAGCTTGGGAGACCTCTGGCAGGTGCTAGAGGATGAGATGGAGGGGGTACTGGGGGAGTAGGGCAGCACGGGCTGGTCAGGAGGGCAGCTGAACAGGGAGGACAAGGGTTCAGGCTGCTAGGTGAACAGGGAACAGGAGATGGAGCGACTTGAGGGCACCAGGCCTGGTTTGTTGCAGGAAGCACTCACATACACCTATATCTTGCAGGGCCATGAAGGCAGGCATAACTAGGGTAGACAATGGCCTAGTCTCTACTCATGCCATGCTTGTACCTTTCTGATCTTATCAATGAAGGACCGCTTGAGAGAGAGAGAGAGAGAGAGAGAGAGAGAGAGAGAGAGAGAGAGAGAGAGAGAGAGAGAGAGAGACTAGGGAACCAACGAGCAGCGCGAAGGGCTTTAACTCGAGAAGCAGCTAATGAAGAGGAAGCTCGAGACGCTACTTATATTCCCACAGAGGTAGCTGAGTCCTCAGAGGAAGACGCAGCCGTAGAGGAATCGAGCCTGCCAGGGGAGAGAATCGCAACACCAAGCCAAACCACATCGAGAAATTTGGCCGGCCCCCAAAACCGAACCGCATCTGGACAAATTTCCCGCTCCCGAGCCGCGCCAAATTCTGCACCAACAGGTCGGCACGCCCCTCCTGGCCGAACCCAACCCACCACCACCCAGCCAACGCTCCCAACACCGCTGGAGGAAAAATCGCCAGAGGCACTGGCAGCTGATAACACGCTTTTCGCGGCCGTGGAAACTTGGGACTTGACGAAACTCTGCGACACTCGCAACGCACCCCTGCCACGCCACCTCCCACAGGACATCCGCCCAATTTTTGCGACTGCGCTGCTAGCCCCTCTGCTCCGACTGGCTGACAACCCAGAATCACTGACAGCATGGACAGTTTTCCTGTTCCTCGCACGCCTGACGCTGAGACAACACACTCCTCAAAAACCGGATTGGCCAGCAGTCAGAGAAAGATTACGACAGTTCTTGGCGGGGGAGTGGAGCGCACTGTACTCTGACTTGCTCGACTCTCTGACCAACCCTCAAGCGCCCAGGCATACCCCCGACGACCTGGGAGTGATTGCAAGGGCAGAAGGCCTTGCGCGACGTGGCAGCCTAAGGAGAGCGGTTCTTGCCCTGGAGGCGACGCCGGTGTGCACCCCGTCACCAGCAATCCTGGAAGCACTACGCGCCAAGCACCCACCTGCTCCTGAAGCGCCCCTCATTTGGCCGGTACCTGACCCCAACGCCCACTTGACAGCCACCCTGCCTGAGTTTCTCAGAGTTCTGTCACGCTGTGACAATGGGATTGGGGCGGGCCCATCAGGTCTGACATTCGAGCATGTGCGAGAGGCGTGTCTAGTCAACCAGTCAGTAGCGACAAACATCCACGCAATGGTCAACACCATTCTGACAGGGAAACTGCCATCCCCAGTCGCCAGGCTCCTCACAGCGTCTCGCCTACTGGCTCTCTCCAAACCAGACGGAGGGACAAGGCCGATCGCTATTGGTGAAAGCATCACCAGACTCGCCGCCAAAACAGCTCTGATGTTGACAGCAGGGGCGGCAAGAAAATTCTTCATGCCACACCAGTTCGGCGTGGCGGTGCCCGGGGGAGCGGAGGCGGTTATCCACATCACCCGCGCCTACCTATCTGAAAATCCTCACGCACTAGTCCTCCAGGCAGACCTAGCCAACGCCTTCAACAGTGTCAACAGAGCTGCAATAGCATCCGCGCTAGACAACTCGGCTCTAGCACCACTACTACCACTAGTACAGCTCACCTACGGGGCCCCCTCACCGCTCTACCTGGACGAGGGCTTCAAGCATGAGCCCCTGCTAAGCACGACGGGAGTTCGGCAGGGAGACCCTCTTGGGCCACTGCTGTTTGCAGCTGCAATCAATCCCGCGCTACAAGCTACAGCCCAGGCCTTCCCTACTGTAGCCTGCCTAGCGTACGCAGACGACGTCACCTTCCTAGGGGAGCAATCTACCTGCGTTGCAGCGTTCCAGCACTTCACTGAGAGCCTCATGCCAATTGGCCTGCATCATAACCCATCTAAATGCGCGGCTTGGTCACAGTCAGGCATCCCCACCTCTGCCCTACCCCAGGGCGTCCCGTTCACTGGAAACGGCGTGAAGCTGCTAGGCAGTTTCATAGGCTCCGATGAGGCCACAGCAGACTTCATCCGTTCAAACCTTAGCTCCATGGCGGCACCTCTTGGCCTGATAGCACGGATGGAACCTCAGCTGGCTGCCCTGCTACTCGCCAGGTGTATCTCAAGACGAGTTTCTTACCTCATCCGGACCACACCCCTCATGCATATGCCTCTGTATGAGTGGTCCGGTTGGGGCAGGCAGTTGTTTGAGACTCTGTTAACGGCATGTGGCATTAGTCATCCGCGGGGTGATGCTGAGATCTCTCGTACATGGTCCCAAGCTTCGCTGCCAGTATCACTTGGGGGCCTCGGAATCACTGACCCCGCGGTCGAGGGCAGCTACAGCTACCTAGCTAGCTTTACCCAGGCACAGCAGCTGCTCTCAACCCTTGAAGATAGCCAGCTGGGGCCCCTGACAGGGACACGGGTGCAGATGATGGGACCGTATACAGACTCCTGCGCTCTCTACCGCTGGCTAGCTCAGTGCGAGGCAGACCTACCGAGTGATGCCGGGGAGCTACTACAGAGTGACAGGGCTGCTCCCACGGGTGTGAAGCTGCAACAGGGGCTAGCTTTGGCAGTTCAGGGCAGAAGGTATGCTAACCAGGTGGAGAGCACAAGGGGCATGACCCCAAACCCCAATAGCGGCCATACGCAGCGCCTTCTCTCTTTGTCAGGGTACGGAGCCGGGGACTGGCTCCATGCAGTCCCGCTCATGCCCTCCCTGAGGCTCGACGGTCCCCAGTTTGCCACAGCCCTACAGTTCAGGCTAGGACTACCATTTTCAGCCCCCGGCGCTTGTGACTGCACCAAGCAGGTTCCCATCCCAGACAATCGGCTTCCAAACCATCTGCTACGCTGCGCCACAGGAGGGGGAAGGACAAATACTCACAACGAGCTGAGAGATGAGTGCATTAGGATGGCACAGTACGCCGGGTTCATGGTGCACAAGGAAACGTCGGAGTTCTGCCCGGTCACTAGGAAGACAGCGGACCTCGCCATTCGTGAACGGTCTTCAGGGGCAGTATGGATCGGGGACGTCACCATCACTGACCCCATCAGCACACGTGACCCCAATGCGGTGAAAGGGAGGGGGTGGGCTGCCAGGGAAGCCGCTGACAAAAAAATCTCAGACTACAGCAGCTCCCCGGCAGCCTACGTCTCATTCGTACCCCTCGCAGTCGAGACTTATGGCTGCCCATGCGCAGAGGTCCCCGCTTTCCTCAAGCTCTTGGCTCACACGGCTGCACGCAAGCTCTTCAACGCCGACCCTTCAACCTACCAGGCGGCAAAACTACTCAACCAGTTCCGCCAGAGATGGTCGGTCGCCCTTCAGCGCGCGCAGGCCGTAAGCTACATGGCCAAGTGCAACATGGCAGCAGAGGCCCAGAACCCTCTTGTCGGGGCCCCTGGCGAGGAAATGTCCCTGGGGGACTGTTTTGTGGTGCTCGAACCTACTGCTGAGCCCCCTTAGGAGCTCCCAGTGGAGGGGGGGTGGCTGGTGGGTAGGGTTGTAGGTTGATCTTCGGATCTGGGTTGCTGCTAGGTTGTTCTTTTAGTCTCTAGTGTTGCCTGTTTCTATTCTGCCTCGATCGTTTGTACTCACCCGTTATATCAATACAAGGACCGCTTGAGAGAGAGAGAGAGAGAGAGAGAGAGAGAGGACTTAGCACCCAGCCCTCTTCCTCTTCCCTCGGCCCTCTTCCTCTAAGCCTATTTAAGGGCCCTTGGTGCCTTTTTCTCCTCATTATTTCGTGTGTTCTCTGTTTTCCACGGCTGGAGAGAGCGAGAGAGAGAGAGAGAGGACTTAGCACCCAGCCCTCTTCCTCTTCCCTCGGCCCTCTTCCTCTGAGCCTATTTAAGGGCCCTTGGTGCCTTCTTCTCCTCATTATTTTGTGTGTTCTCAGTTTTCCACGGCTCGCGCCGGCGGCCTTCGGCCGCGCGTTTCAGAGGCAAGACACTCACACAAGGAGTTGATCAAGCAAGGCATTCCAAGAAGGAAGAAATCAAGCAACTGGAGAGCATCACCTCACGATCAAGATGCAATACTACACGAGACGCCGCTCTACTGCGTGTACAGGCCAGCCCCCTCCGCCTCAAGCATCGCGAGAAGACACCCCGCCATCGAGTGGAGAAGCTCCGCCGAGAAGCGAAGAGTGTCAACAGGGGTCCCGTGCTGAGCCGCAGCGTGAAGATCAAGAGCGAGGCGGGGGAAGGTACGGGCTAAGGGTGCTACCCCGGCGGGCGCATCCGACACGGGCGATAAAAGGGGGACAATCTCTCCTGCCCAAGCGACGCACTGTCCTTGGGGCCCTTGAGCAAAACTGCTCGGTGTGTGATGCATGGCCTCACACGGCGCCAGCTGCAGGCTCGCCAGCCCCTCAGCCGCCCCCGCCAAATTCCACATCCGGCACATGCTCAGCGTGGGATCTCTCCCCGCGCGGCTGGGGAGAGGCGCAGTCGGAACTCCGCGCGGCAGAAACATCCCCACCTGGGCCGGAGTCTGGCCAACCGTATTTTGAGGAGCAGGGTAACCTGGGGCTTGGCGGCGTCCGCGGAACGGCCCCCTCGCCGCTGCAGCTGGCAGATACTCCCGCAAGGTCGGAGCGCGCAGCGGAGCGGCTTCAACCGCAACAGGTGCGGTGGGGGGCTCAGTGGTCACAGACACGTGAACGTGAGCTGCTGCCCCCGACGCTTCCACCTCCCGCACTGCATCCGCCACCATATTCCCCGCGCGGTCAGCAGTGGAGCCCTGGCCACGACTACCCCCGCCGCGCGCATAACCATTCCGCCGCCCACGACGCCCTCCAGACCCAGCCGACTGAGGATGGGGCGGGGACTGCTCACTGCGGCGAGAATCCCAACGGCCCGCATGAGCCCCGCGGCCCCGACGCGGAGGCGACGGCCGCGGCGTCCGCTGCGGAGGGGACCGCTCCCGCGGGGAGCGCTTCTCCGGCGACCTCTCAGAAGAGCGGTAGCGGCGGTCGCGATGCTGAATTTCCCGCTGATATTTGTCCCATCGCCGCCGAGAGTCATGCGGCTCGGGGGCGCGACGCGCAGGGGACGCGGGTCGATATCCACGAGGCGGCGGGGACCGGCCCCGCTCCTGACGCGCCGGCAAGGCATTCGAGGCGACGACTAGGGGAGCACGGGATTGCTCAGGAGACGCGTGACGATCCGCCCCGCGCAGCGGAAGAGACAACCCGCGCTCAAGACGGCGCACGGGCGCCGACGCAGCAGGACGAGCCTGCACTTGGGAACGCGGAGGCGCATACTCGGGGTTTGGCTGCGCAACAAGCTGAGCGCTCTCCGCGGTTGCTTCCAAGGCGCGGTCGCGACCCACGGACCCCGCCATCACGACCGAGGCGTGAGCCGAGGACGCCAGAGCCCCGCTTGGCAGGGGAGGAGATTGGCGAAAACCGCACGCCTGTAATGCACAGCCCAATCGCGAGGAGTGGCACACCTGGCGGACGACGCGTAGGCGGGAGAGGACCCCGAGGAAGAGGAGCTGGGAGGAGAGGAGGCCGACGTACAGGCGCGAGCGGCTATGCGAGGACAGCAGAACAACTACTCCGGGAAGGCGCGGAAGGCGGCGAGGAAGCCGCTAGCAGGGAGGAGAGTGGTGAATCGGAGAATGACGAGAGTGACGAGGGTGACCCAGGTTTTAACCCCGAAACGGAGGGAGGTTTGGATGCTGAAGCTGATGACGATGATGAGGAGCTCTTGGTTCGTGGGGCTGAGTTCCTGGACCAACAAATTGGAGCCGCGTCTGCAACAGAACCCCAGCCAGGAATCGGAATGTGGGGAGAAATCAGGCCTGGAGGGGAAATCGGACCGCGGCAGAAATCACATTTGACTCTGCCGCAACCAATAGGAACACCCCAACCCCAACTCCAACCCCACCAATGATCCACCCAGGCGACTTGGCGAAACGACTGGACCTTTTCGCGCAAGTCGCAGGCTGGGACCTGGACCCACTGCGCGATAGTCGCCAGCCCCCCCTCGCCCGTCACCCGCCAAAAGACCTTCGCGAATCATTCGCAGTCTGCCTACTCACCCCACTACTCCACCTGGCAGCCAATCCCAACTCGACCGCGGGGTGGAGGTTACTGACTTTCCTCCCGCGAATCCTCCTACGCACCTCGTCAGCTCGCAAACCAGACTGGAACGCGATGATGAATCGCCTCCTCCGTTTCCGCCAGGGACTCTGGTCTGGCCTGTACGACGAGGCAGTTGAAGCAATTTCCCTCCCAGCCCAGCCACGTCACGTACCTGACACTCAGGGCATCCTTGCTAGAGTGGAGGGACTGGCCAAGCATGGTAACCTGGCCAAGTCACTACAGTCCCTCCAAGCCACTCCGGTCTCACCTGCCTCCCCTGAAGTGTACGCGGCATTAGCAGCACGACACCCGCAAGCACTCCAGCCCTTACCAGAATGGATACGCACCTTCTCCCCCAAGAAAACCCCTTCGATAGAGCCGCGCGACTTCAGGCGCATCGTAGCCAAACTCCCAAACGGGGTGGGAGCAGGGCCGTCAGGCTGACATTGCCCTTTTCCCGTCCGCCGAGAGTGCGTGCAAAAGACGCCCGCTCTCTCAAACGGAGAAGTGCGTGCAAAAGGAGGGTGTTTCCGTAGAGGAACAGTGAGAAAGGGAGATAAGAGGACAAATACATGATACGACTCGTATCTTATGTAACTCGGAGTTTTCTTGAAAGTCGCCAATATCAGTGTTTAGTAGGAGGGTCGGCCACAGCACATTGCTCGCCGGGGCTTCTTACATTGAGCGCTTTTGACCATGGCAGCACGGGTCTCAGGCAGAAAGAGAAGTGGCGAAACTACTACGAGGGCGATGATGGCGACGGTGAAGCCCTGACGATAACCATGTAGCGGATAGCACTTCTGCCTGTGTCGCTGCTGCTGGCGGTGGGTGCTGCTGCTGCTGGCATTGCAGGTCGTCATGCTGTGGTTGGTCGTGCTGGTTAAGAACTGCGTGTTCCAATCACATGGGCCAACAAACAGGTTTGCTTCGATTTCCAAGGCATGCGCTGCCGCCGCTGCGTCTGGAGCGTTGTTGCCCAGGCCCGCATGTGCCCAGATGATGTAATGCTGTTAATGCTGCTGCCGGTTCCAAGTCGTTTGTAGCGAATCTACTAAGCCGCTTACAAGGAGGTGGAAGGAAACCAAATCGTCCGAAAACAAGAATGTACAAAATCTCGCACTCCTGAGACGAGGAATCATGTTCAAGACAATCCTCGAGCTTCTCTTTTCTCCATCAGTTGTGAACGACTCGGAGTGTTAGGTCCAGGGAATGGCGTGGAGCAGGTCTAAGCATTCAGGGTGTTTTACCCAAACGCTACGACTTTTGGTTGCTTCAACACCAGGGAAGAATTATTGATCCTTCTCAACCTCAAATGCTATCATCATCACCCTCTCTGGTTTTCCAACATGCGAAATCAACATCCAATCTCTGAATTTTAGAGCTCTCACTCCAACATCCGCGGAAGAATCTTGTCTTGTCGCACCAAGTTATTCAGCGCCCGAAGCAGGTCGCGACAAAGAGTCTTGTTTATGATGAGGCAGGCAGTGCGTTTTCTCCTCGACCTGTCATGCTGAGGTGTGCTGATCTGAAACTGATCACACACACCTTGTAAGGGTATTGACGCGTGTCGCGTTCTTATTCATTCTCTGGTTGCAAAACCGGATTTGGTGACCCGTGGTTTCTGGGCTTGCGTGTCAAGCCAAACTTCCACCCCTGCTTAGAACGTGCCGTAAACAGACTTCTGCTAGGGCTGAAGATGCCAGGGCGTTTCCCTTGGTTGCCCTGGCAATTAAAGCTGCGGCCTACATACTCCGAGCGGGAGGGCTGAGATTATCACTTGAAAACAGGGTGACCAGTTTTTGGACTCGGCCCCCTTTCCTGCAAAGTTAACGGTTGAGAGGGGTGGAGAGAGGGGGCTGGGTTGTTTCCTGCCCTTCCGGCAGACCCTCCTCCAAACCACCCGTCAGCCACGAAATTGGGCTGGATTCGCGTTTCCTGTCTGAGTTCGTCTGCTGCGGTGTTTTTGAAACATGCTCACTTCTTTCTCCAATCAGGCCGCCCGAAAGGGTTGGCATAAAAAATACACCCAAAAAATACCACTTAGTATGTAGACCGCAGCTTTAAGAGATTGTTTTGCCAACCTGGCTGAATTGGGTTGCAGAGAAACTAGCCCTGATTTCTGTAGTGGTATTTATGACTGAATTCAAACTGAAATTTGCCCGAGCAAAATAAAAAAATATAAGATTTCTGGCATACCCTGGTAATCTGGTGAGGGTTTCGGCGCGAGATTCTGATTTCGTTTTTTTTTTTTTTTTTTTGTCAAACCCGGCCAGGCCTCGTATTACACCCTTCGGGTTGGGACAGTCCTCGAAAGTCCCAAATTGCAGGTGCGTCCTGAGGAGATTAACTCTACAACGGTGGAAGCTAGACAACAGGGTTGGCACGAGTTGTTAGAGTGATCGTAGCTCTGTTTGTGTTCTCTATGACTTGTATTTTCACAGGGCAAAACAGCAAAAGTTTTACTAACGGTTGCACCTGACTAGCCACGTCGACCACGTGCTGCCACGTCGGTCAATTTCGCCATAGCAACCTCGACGACGTTTGTGACCCTCCGCAGAACCTCATCGACCAGGTAACTTGGTTAACCAGTTAAAGTTGTCAGGCATATATGCTATAGTTTGTGTAGGCTGTAGTGGGGCAGTTCATATGGGGTACAACACTTTAGGGTTTACTACTTGTACTCCTCATTCTGCTCAATGCACTCATTCCTCGTTTCTTATCATGGTATCGAGTAGGTTCCCTAGTGGGAACGATTCCTAGGGCCTACCACGATCTTTTTTTTTCCTGCCCGGAGCGCGCTTCCTTCCTGCCCGAGTCGCGCTCTGTGTGCCCTCCCTACCGTCGCACCCTCTCACGGCCCCTTCGCGTTGCCTTTAGCGGCCCCTATCACGGCCCCTTACGCCGCCCTTACGGCCCCTCGCGCTGCCCTTTACGACCCCTCGCGCCGCCCTCTAAGGCCCCTCGCGCCGCCCTTACGCCCCCCCCCCCCTGCGACGCCCGTCTGCTCCCCTTGCGGCGCCCTTACGGCCCCTTACGGCCTCGTCGCCGCCCCGTCTAGGCCCCTTACGGCCCCGTCGCCGCCCCGTCTAGGCCCCTTACGGCCCCGTAGCGGCCCCGTCTAGGCCCCTTGCGGCCCCTTTGCGGCCCCGTCTAGGCCCTGTGCGGCCCCTCTACGGCCCCGTCTAGGCCCCTTGCGGCCCCTCTGCGGCCCCGTTGCGGCCCCTCTGCGGCCCCGTTGCCGCCACCTGCGGCCCCGTCGCCGTCACCTGCGGCCCCGTCGCCGTCACCTGCGGCCACCCTACCGCCACCTGCGGCCCCGTCGCCACCACCAGCGGCCCCGTGGCCGCCAACTGCAGCCACGCAGCCGCCACCTGCGGCCTCGCCGCCACCTGCGGCCCCGTCGCCGTCACCTGCGGCCCCGTCGCCCTCCCCTAGCAGCCACGTGAGTGCCTTTACCGGCCCAGCGACCGAGCCGCCGAGCAGCCCAGCAGCCGAGCCGCCCAGCAGCCGCGCCGCCCAGCAGCCGAGCCGCCCACCTGCCGAGCAACCGAGCCGCCTTGCAGCCGAGCAGCTGAGCCGCCCAGCAGCCAAGCCGCCCAGCAGCCGAGCCGCCGAGCAGCCGAGCCGCCCACCAGCCGAGCCGCCGAGCCGCCCAGCAGCCGAGCCGCCCAACAGCCCAGCCGCCCAGCCGCCGAGCCGCCCTACTGTCGATCCGCTGCTGTTCCTACTGGTGAGCTCACTCCCTACTAGGCCACTGCAGTCATGGCTACAACCAGTGTCCTTACTTTTGATGCTGAGGGCCGTGCTGTAGACATTGAGGTCTGGGTCGATGACCTCCAGCTGTTCCTCCAATGCGATAGGGCAGACGACCTCTCTCTGTTCGACCTCACCTCTGCTGCCTCCCCTGCCCCGCCTGCTACTGCTGACAGCACTGTTCGCTCACAGTGGGCGACACGCGATGCTACTGCCCGTCTTGCTGTGCGTCGCTACTTACCGACCACTGAGCGTGTACACTTTAGCTAGTACAAGAGTGCTTAGACCTTGTACGACGCTGTAGTTGCACGCTACTCTTCCCCTGACACTGCTGCAATGAGTCGCCTCATGCTACCGTACCTCTTCCCTGACCTTGCTGCCTTTCCCACAGTCGCTGACCTCATTACGCACCTCCGCACTAGTGACACTCGCTACTGCGCTGCGCTTCTTGCTGACTTCTGCGCCAAGAACCCCCCCATCACCCTCTACTACATAGTCACTTGGCTCCCTGACTCTCTCCGCGTAGTCAGGGACCACTTCCTCTCAGTTTGCCCCACCACTCTCACCGTTGACCTCCTCGAGAAGGGCCTCCTAGCAGCACAGAAGAGCATAGTCGCTGTAGGAGCCTCTCGTGGTGATCCTCGCACCCCCGTCTTTGAGGGGTGTTCCCCCTCCCCCCTCTTGCCCCCTGTTGTTTCTGCTGCTGCGGCCGACCTCGTTGGTTTCGAGTCGGTCGGCGCTGCGTCTGCCCCTAGCGGGAGACGCCGCACCGGCAAGGGCAAGGGGGGCAAGGGCGCTGGAGGGGCTGGCGGGGGCGGTGGAGGTGGTGGTGGAGGCAGTGGAGGGGGTGGGGGTGGTGGTGGGAGTGGTGGCGGGGGTGGCGGCGGCGGCGGCAGCAATGGAGGCGGATTGAGGCGGCGGTGGTGGCGGAAGGAGCGGAGGCGGCGGAGGTGGCGGAGGAGGCGGAGGTGGAGGAGGCGGCGGAGGCGGCGGCGGCGGCGGTGGAGGAGCGGGTCGCGACTCTGCGCAGAGGAGTGGGTCAGGTGGTGGTCCGCGCCAGCAGCAGCGGAGTGGTGTGACTCTGTCCCCTCAGCAACTTCGTGAGTGGTACGCTGCGCGTCAGCGCGGTGGGGGTACTGGTCCCTGCACTTACGTCCTCCGTACCGGCGACCGAGCTGGTGAGCAGTGCGGGGGCCCGCACTCCACCCAGCGCTGCATGGGTCGCCTGACGGACGCGTGGCATCGCCAGTTCCCTGAGGCGTCAGAGATCCCTCGCTTGGGAGATCTGTCTAGGGCGGGGGTTGCCATCTTTGATCTTGACTATGATTCTATCCTTGCTGCGATGTATTCAGTGACTACTAGTGTTGAGGGTGAGTGTTACCTGTGTGTATCGCCTGACCCGGGCATTGAGGCCACCGCTCTAGGTGCTGGTGAGGCTGCTGCTCTAGGTGCTGGTGCGTTTGCTGCCCCAAGTGCTAGTGCGTGTGCTGCCCTAGGTGGTGGTGAGTCTGCTCTCTCAGGTACTACGTCGGCTCAGGCCTTACACACCTTCACCCTTGACTCGGGTGCGTCCCGCTCCTTCTTTCGAGACCGCACCACTCTTACGCCGCTCAGTCGGCCGGTTGCAGTCTCCCTGGCGGACCCCTCTAGGGGTCCTGTCCTTGCTAGCTTCTCCACTGTCTTACCGTGCC